TTCGCCGTATTGTTGCATGTCAGAGCTGAAAGTCAAACATATTAGTGAGTTGCAGTCTATGTGAAAGATGAATTCACGAAATCTTCTAATAAGATTTGGTGTTTCAATTTTTATATAAAGTGTGAGGGTGTGGGCATGGGAGTGGTTGAAATAGAGACCAACACCAATACTGCTACATACAACAGATTTTATGGTTTAGCCGAAAGAGAGAGTTTTACAAGTCTTTGTTATCACCTGCTGGAGAATCAGCATTAGCAGTTTTGATCAATGCAGAGACCAATAAGATTATAAGCAGGCTGCGCAGCCCGCGTAAATGTAGATTAAATGACATTGCAAGTTCCCAGAATATCGATTTAGTAGACATTTTCCTGAAATAGAAACATATAAAAGATGCATGGTTCTTTTCTAGATAGCAGAAAGGAGAAGTTTTGTTAGCATCGGGTTGGCGAGGTAAGCTCTCGTAGTGAAAAATAGTTCTTCCACTATGATTATGGTTATTTGATCATCCTTACTTCTCGAATTGTTCTAAGGCATTTTAAACAAGGAAGTGCATGGTTTTTGATCTGAAATTTGGAATACGAATGGGTCTCACCGTTACCGGAATGCCCTGAAAGCAACGGTCAGAACAATCTTCCCATCTTTAGCTATTTAGTTCTTTAAAAGCATAATAGTTCTAAAATCTGTTCCTTCAAGCTTTATTTTGTCCTCGACCATGTTATCCATAAGATATATGCGTTTAGCAAAGTTCAAATCAAATACATGATGTTCGGTTTTATTCCAACAAGCTTTAAAACATGTCGAGATATGATAAAGATAACGTTTCTAACTGAACTTCAAAGGCCTTGACATTCTCCAGAAGTTACAGTAGTATATCACCAACTACGGCCAAATTAATGATTAAAGTATTCGGCATGAAAAGGTTTCACACTAAATCTGTCACTCTAATTAGTAGTTCACTTGCACGTTACTTGTAACCTTGGTGACAAAAGCTTTCATAATTTTATGTTGTTTTCATTATACACATATTCTTCTCATATAATAGTTCATGTGATAATTCTTGAGGGATTTACGATTTCTGGTCCAAAGATAGGTACGGTTCGGTTTAAATTTAAAAAAACTCGAAGCGTGCCCATCTCTGTTCTGACCGTTGAAAATTTTGGATTAAAAGTTGTCAGATAGAAATCCGAGATATAAGAAAATGACTTCAAACCCAGAACCCAATTTTTAAGAATTTTAATTTGCAAAGAATTCAAATTTATCTTAAGTGAAACTCGAATTTATTGTGAAATTGATATGAGTTTTCATATATATCTAGAAGTTAAAAGTATCCAAACTGGATTCTATTAGACTCTATACAAATAAAATGCAAACTTAAACTAGATAAATGCAAATTTATTCGAACGAAACTAATAGCCTATTTATTTTAAACTTGGACTTCCTTGAATCAAATATAAGTGCATTTAATTTCATACAATTCATATATAAATATTGAAATTAATTTTGAAGAAATATGACTTTCACAATTTGAATTGAGCTTATATAACTTTCAATTCAACTTGAGTGAAATCGAATTAACTTAAAAATTTATTCAAATTGAATTTCAACTAAAATCAATTAAATTCTACTAAAAGGCATTTCAATTAGGTGCCGATGGATGTGAGTGTAAGAAGAGAAGATCTACATTCGCATCTACACCCACACCCTACTTAGCAATAATAAATTCCATTTTTCATTTACTTTTATTTGATAGAAAGTTCTTTGCTGCTATTTTTCAAAATCACAGGACTACTTCTGGAAAACCATTTTTAAGCACCTTATACACTAACATTCGATTTACAATTGTTCAAATTGAGTTTATATAAATGTTATCTGAGTTCTGAGAAATTCAAATTATTGTAAATAAATTTCGCTTAACTTCTATGTAATTCAAACCGATTGAAATTCATTTTAAAAAATTCAGATGAAAACTAAATGAGTTAAAGTTGTTTTTAGACCACTTTCAGTCTGTTTTTATTACTTCATTAGTACACTCAAAAGCTTTTCAATGAATTAAAGTAACTCGTAACGCATATTAAAATAGTTCGAAACTATATTTAGAAAGAAAGCTTGTTAGCGCAGCTTCAAAGAAGCTGAAATGTGGAACTCACGTATATCCTTTAGACTTGCTATCCTGATGCCTGATTTTTAAACTGCAAAATAGCTTTTCTTCGAATACTTATGAAAGCATTAATATATTATATAGAATCTAAAGTCTTTTATGCGTGGTTACTGAGGTCTGTAATGGGGGAGGGAGGGGGGGGGGGGAAGTGGTATGTCTGTAATGTTCGCTTTCTCCATTGCTAGATATCTGTAATGGGCAGGAGGAAGTCGCACAAAACTTGAACTGAAAACTAACACCCACTATTTTCTTCGAAAATATACGTGAGTTCCACAAAAATTATGGTTATTATTTTTCAATATAACTAGAAAATACCAACAACGAAGAATAATTCTTTTGTCCGTGGGGTCTTTGGTTCAGATGATCGAGTTTTAATATTTTAGATCCAGTTATTTCCTTATTTCTTATGTATTCTTTTTAGAATTATGTACTTGCGAAGTAGAGATGATCAATGCACATTTAAAAGATTGATAACATTACGAAATAATTTCTAAGGAATCGAAATTAAAATCAATCTTAACTTCATAAGAACCTAAATTTGATATAACTTAGCAAAGGAATACAATGTTTAATTTTTGCGCAAGCTCTTATCTGCAAAACGATTGATATATCTTTCTTCAATAAGACGCCTCAATAAATACGTTCAAAATGAGCAGCCTCTAATCAACTTGTTCAAAATTTGCATCAAGTAGCATTAAGGTATACTCAAACAGAGAAGCTTTTTGTAAAAACGCAATTAAACTCCCAAAAATATGCCTAAAATCAATAAAAAGTGGACATTTTTGTGCGCTTAAACGCGTTTTTTCGAAAGTTTGTCTTCTTAGGTAACTGCGGCTTTGGTATCAATAAATCGAAGTAATCTCAATCGACTAATTGAAAAGCATATTAATATGTTGCTATAAGCTAGAAAGGTTCTGGTGAAAATTTCAAAACTGCACCTCAACCTAAACACATGAGAGAACGATCAGAAACATTCAACATAGCACAGCTTACCAATAAATGATATTCCGGTATTAGGCAACGAGCCTCCAACTAAACGAATCGGGTATACACAGGAATAGTTAGAATTCAAAAATCAAGAACAAATGATTCGAACTCGAAATGGAGAACAAAGATATTCTAGAACTGCATTTCATGTGCTCTTATTCAACAAACAATTAACATTTCATCTATATACATAATGTCCCTCTGTAGTAGTTACTTATATTCAGCTGTGAAGAATTACTCTTGTCGGTTCAGAGTATCATAGATAAAGAAACGACATTTGTTACTGATATGTAGAAAATTCTATGACATCCTTAAACTGATTTCAAAGCCAACGTCTTTGTAATGAAGAATTGTCTTATACACAGACATCAAGCTTATAGTCTATAAAATAAGTTAAAGTGAAGTGCCATCTGAAAATACATTTCTTTTTATCAGTGAGTGCAACCAAAAATTTACGAAATTTCTTGAGACAAATGCACGTTGCATCATATCACAATTCCAACAAACGTCAAGCTGTTCTACGATACATCTTTCCAATAGTTTTATCACATCGCTACTTAAAGAAACACTATATAAATTTATCAGAACCTTTCAGAGTTATGATCACATATTACTACAAAAGACTAAAGCTTCAAAAACCATACACTTACCTGTTGAGTCAGTCCGAAATATTATAAGCTTAATTGTAGAAGAAAACTTGAATTTATTAATGTAATCCCTTCACTGGCAATAGAGCAATATGCTGTCACTATATATATGGCCACGAAAACATGACTATTGAATGTAAAATTATTTATTTAGATCGCAAAAAAAGTTTGTTTAGTGCGCATAGATACCTATATTTAGATGATGGAGAA